AGCCCAGCTCCTTTGCTCTTTGAAATATAATATTTTAAGACCTATAGTCTTTTAGCGTAGAAGCTGCTAGGTCTTGTGAAATCCTGTTTTCCCACAGTATTTAAAATGTTTGTGTTTTTTTTTTTCTTGTTGCTTTTACATGGGAATTTTGAAACTTGGCTGTGACATTCCGGTGAGTTTTCTTCCTAGGATCTGTTTCATGTGGTGATCAGTGGATTCTTTCTATTTCTAATTTACCTTCTTGTTCTAGAACTTCAAGACAATTTCCCTTAATATTTTTTTTTATTATATTGTTGTATCCAGATTATTTTTTGATCATAACTTTCAGGTAAACTGAGAATTCTTATTTTGTCTCCTCAATCTTTTCTCCAGATCAATTGTTTTTCTAATGAGATATTCTAGATTGTCTTATGTTTTTCAGGTTTTATTATATCTTGTTGTCTTAAAACATCATTCAATTCCACTTGCCCAATTCTAGTTTTCAAGGAGTTATTTTCTTCCTTTAGATTTTGTATCATCTTTTTTTATTGGTTAAATTTCTTTTCATTTTTTTTCTATTTTTCCTCATTCACTTTTATTTGATTTTTGAATGCTTGTTTTCTTTTTATTTTCTTCCTTAAGATTTTATATCTCTTTTTTCCAATTGGTTAACTGTTTTTTTCCCATAATTTTCTTGAATTCCTTTCAGGTTTTTTTTCTAATTTTTCCTTGTTCTCTCTTATTTGATTATTGAATTACCTTGTAAGTTCTTCTAAGATTTATTTTTGGATCTGGGACCATTTGACGTTATTCGTTAGGGTAAGAGTGGCTTTTTTTTTTAACTTTTTACCTCACGATCTTCTTTTCAATATTAACCCAGACCTTCTTTTACACCAAAGTAGCTATCAATAGTCAGGTTCCTTTTCCTTTGCTTACTCATTTCTATTTTTAATTTGTCTTATTTTATTTTCAGTAGTTTAATATTGTTATTATCAACTTTTAATCCTGAGTTGTAGGTAATGTTGTTTTCTGAATTCTGTGTGGGGGTTCAACCTAAGGGACTCCTCTCTTTATACCCTAAGCTCCAGTCATGCTGTCCCCAAAATTGTCTTGCTCCCTGTGGTACCATACTCACCAGGCTTGTGCTCATTCCTCCTCACAAACAGCCACAGCCTGGGATCACATCTGGTCACCACTGCTAGGCCTGACTTCCCAAAACAGCAGGGGGTCATTCAATCTTCCCTTACTCAGCATTCTTTAAATGAAAGTTTGTGAGATAAAAGTTTGTGCCCCAAAAGTTCCTGAAGTTGTGAGGTAAAAGTTCCTGAGGCGAAATTTCTTGATGCCCTGAATGATGTGAAAGTTGAGGTGAAATGTCTTGAGGCCTAGTCTGCTTCCATCAGGGCCTATTGTTTGTTGATTCAGAGAAATTATCCTGGAGATGTTTACACTTCACTCAGGCCAAACATAAGTCACTGGAGACTTCTCTAAAGTCCTCTCAAGATATCTTAAGAGGACAACTGCTTTATCCCTTTATTTTTGCTGCTCTATGTTCATTTTGTGGTGATTTTCTATCTGTTTGTGGAGGAAATCTGGAGAACCTGGAAATTTCTGACCTACTCTGCCATCTTCCCAGAATGCCATGCAATATTCATTTTTTTTAATCATTGTAGTTTTTATTCTTTCCAAATACATTGTTGTAGTCTATATATTGTTTGTTCCTCCCCTGGCTGTGATTATTTCAACTTCTTTCAATAGGTGTAAGGCTTTCCATGTTTCTTTTTAGTCATCATTCTTACAGCATAATAATATCACATTACATTCATGGACAACAATTTGTTTAGTAATTTTCCAATCAAAAGATACCTGCTTTGTTCTAATTCTTTGTTACCACAAACGGTACTGCTAAACTGAATGTTTTGGTTTATATGAAGATTTTCTCTTCTTTCCACAATGATTATATGTATGTATGTTACCTATATATAATAAAGAGAAAGACAGAGGGGGGGAGAGGGGGGTAACACACACAGAGAGAGAGAGAGAGAGAGAGAGATACCAAGCAGTTCAATATGAGTCAAAATTTGTGTTAATTTTAGTTTTTTTCAGAATAATTGTATCAACTTATGACTACACCACAATACATTAGTGTCCTTGTCTTTCTGAAACCCTTCCAATACTGCTTATTCTTGTCCTTTGTCCTTTTTTGCCAATTTTTTCTATGAAAGGAAACCTTAGAGTTATTTTGATTCACATTTTTTTTTGTTATTAGTTATATGGAACATTTTTCTTAAGATTAAGTTTGGAATTCTTTGAGAACTGTCTAGTCATGTTTTCTGACCACTTCTCTATGAGGATTGGCTCTTAGTCTCATATACTTGATAATTATTTCTTCATTTTAGATAGAAAATCTTTATCAGAAGTATCTTCCACATGCAGTGGTTTTCTTTCTTATCCTAGTTACAGTAATTTCATTAAAAAAAAAGGTTTGCAATTTCATGTAGTCAGAATTATCTACTTAATCTTGTGGAAATGTCTATGCTATTTATTTGGTTAAGAATAAAATTCCCATCCAAAATTATGAAAAGTGTATGACCCATTTCTTTTCTATATTTAGGTTTTTAAACTATGGGTCATATTTCAATTTGAATTTATTTTTAATGTGATGTAAAATGTTTGTCTCAGCATGTTTCAACAGACTGCTTTCCATTATTTTCAATAGTCCTTAAGATAGAAGAAATTATTTCCTAGGCAATCTTTTTAAATTTCAAGTTTGATTTCTATTATTTCTGATTCTTCCTTATCTACTGTTTTCCATTGATTTACATTTCTTGCTTTTTTAAACCAGCAACAAAAGATTTTCATGGTGGTTGCTTTATGTTTTGAGGTCTAAAAATGATATTTCACCTTTATTCCTTCCTTTTCTCATAAATCTCACTTACATTCTAGACATTCTACTTCTTCAAATGAGTTTTCTTTTAATTTAATGAATTCTCTAAAGTATCCTTTTGCTATTTTGATTGGTATAAAATCAAATCCAAAAGTTAAATTTGATAGTATTATTTTATTGATATTGTTGTGGTAGTAGTGGTTATATTGACATGGTTATGATCAGTGAATCACTCCAACTCATTTAATTCTTAATTTTTGTTGATCATTTTCTAATTAAATACTTACAAATATTAAATGTGTGTTGATATGTAGACACAAAATTTTATACATTTTGTAGTTACTTTGGATATGTATGATGAATACCTCTTATATTATAGCCTTCTGTGCGGTCTTATTGTTATATTGAAATACAGTTTTGCATGTTTAATTTGTAAACAGTAATGTTAGATTACTTTTGTCTGATATCATTGTGATGATTGTTTCTTAATAATGAACTATCCTTATATTCTTGGAATATATCCGAACAGTTCACAATGAATCATTTTTCAAATAAATTGTATTAAACTTGAAATCTTGAGTTAATGATTATTAAGACTACTGGTCTATTGTTCTCTTTTATTATTTCCCTGGCTTAAGTTATTAGGATTATATTTGTTGCATAAAAGGAGTTTGTTGCATTTTTTTGTTCAAATTTTGAGAAGAGTGTGTGTGTGTGTGTGTGTGTGTATTATTGGTATTAATTGTTATTTAAATATTTGATAGAATTTTCCTGAATCCACTAGGACCAATATTTTTTTCTTTTCTTTTTGTTGTTTTCTTTAAAGTAAGTTGTATTTTCTTGACTGAAATGAATTGTTTAAGATTTCTATTTGGTTTTCCTTTAGTTATTTACTTTAGTCATTTTTTTTTCAGATAGACTTCTACTTCTTGTGTTTTCTCAGGTTTGTTGTCATATAATTGTGCATAGTAGGGTCTGATTATTGTTTTCTTTTTAATTCCTTCAGGTTTTGTTGTGATTTTGATTTGATTTCCTGCCTACCTGTTTTTAATCTGATGGACTGAAAGTTTATGATTTTTATTATTCTTTTCAAAGAATCTGACTTTAGAGTTGTGTATTAGTTCTATAGTTTTTCACTTTGAAATTATCTACTTGTAATCATTCCCTCTTTTTCAATATTTATGAGAAATATGGAAAATTTCCTGCAATATAGTGTTCAGATATTTTTCTTCTTGAAAGTCTTCAAGAACACAAATGATTCTTGTTTCTCTTCTTAAATCATTCTTTGAATCTATAACTTTTCTCTAAACAATTTTGATTTTTGTAATTGTCTAATTTCTTAAAATAAAATCCTTCACTATTCTTTGTTTATGCCATTCTGAATCTTTGTGAAACGACTGTGTTTTTTTCTTGGATACTATTTTCATGTTTTCTTCAGTCAGATTTCTTAGATGTAATCTTTTATCTATTTACTTTTCTGATACTTCTACTAATGTAATTTTTCCTTTAATCCTTCATTTTATTGATTTTGTCATTCATGTCTTCAGAAAAATTCTAGTTTTACCTCTAGTGTTTTATTTGTTCCTAGTTGAGTTTAATTTTCTATGAGTATTTTTGTCTCCAATTCTTTTAGTTACAGTTTTGCTTGTTAGTGTATATTTTGAATAAGAAAACATTTTCAAGGATTTTCAAGAATTTTTCTTTGGAGGAGTTCTATACATGTTTTTGAAGGTGTTATGGAAGATGAAGATTATCTTGCAACCTCTTAGTATTTTATGAAAGCAAGAATGAATGAATGAATGAATGAATGGATTCAATTAAAATCATTTATTGCATGCCTGCTATGATCCACTCATATATTTCTGAAATTATTTCCATGGCTATTTACCTAGGAATTTTTTTTTTTTACTAAACATGCATTGACTGGACTTAACCTCCCCATCTTCTATAATTATCTAACACTATCTATCAAGCTGAAGTTGAAGATAAACTTGTAATTGAAGTGGAATAAAATAATAAACCAAGGGTATTATTCATTTTTAGAGAACAGTAGTTATACCAATAGAATTATGCCATTCTTCCTCAGCTATGAGTTCACTTATAGATGAACTGCATTTGACCTGATTTCTGTTTTTCAGAAAATGTTGAGAATGACTTTGCGGATCTGCTTGGTTTTGATACTATAGATAATAGGGTTCAGAACAGGGGGCAGAAGAAGAAAAGCACTAGACATCATGGTGTGAACATGTGGAGGTACCTTACGACCCCACCTATGGACACTGGACAAGCTGATAAGGGGTATATAGAAAATGGAAATGGCACCAATGTGAGAAACACAGGTGCCGAAGGCTTTGTGGCGTTCCTGTGGGGATGCAATGCTGAGCAAAGAATGAATGATTAAAACATAGGAAAGGACAATCAAAGGAGCATCCAAGCCAAATGTTAAAAATATTGCAATTAATCCATATATGCTATTGGCCCTGGTATTTGAACAAGAGCATTTTAGCACATCAGGATGGTAACAATAAGAGTGAGAAAGGATATTATTGTTGCAGAATGACAGACGTTTAAGAAGCAAGAGCACTGGAGTCATAATAAGAGCACCTCTGAGTACCATCATCAATCCAAATTGGATAATCCTGGCTGGAGTTAGGATTATAACATATCTAAGTGGGTCACAAATAGCAATAAAGCGATCAAAGGACATGGCCAACAAAACTGAGGACTCCATGATGGTGAGAAAATGAATGAAAAACAATTGACTGATGCAAGAATCTAAAGTGATCTCTCGAGCATTGAACCAAAAGACACCCAAAGTTGTTGGCAGTGTGGATAGGGACAAGCACATGTCAATGGCTGACAGCATGAAGAGGAAATAATACATGGGCTCATGCAGGCTCTGTTTAGTAATAATGACAAGCATGATCATGCTGTTTCCTGAGAGAGCAATGGCATACAGACAACAAAAGGGAATGGACACCCAGATATGAATATCTTCCAGTCCTGGAATTCCTGTTAGAAAGAAGGTCAGAGATATGGCTGTGTTGTTTGGAAAAGCCAACATAGTGAATTGAGAAGGTAGTTTTCAAATTGAAAAGTCCCAAGCCTGCAAAAGGAAAAAAAAGGCAATTATGGATATTTATAGCAGAGCCCTGGGATAATATAATTTTAAACCTTTCCTTAGTGGTTAATTAGTATATACATTATGGTTACCTTGTTCTCCCCATCACATTTTTAGTGTCATAACCAGAATAGATTTCAAAGAACATTCTGTCTCTATGGTCTAATTTTATGATAATTGATTTTAAAGTATGTTAAAGGGTTTTTTTTACAAAAATTAAATAATTAATTAGTGTGACTGTGGAATTAAGAAGAAAATTATTGTGATTATTCAAAGGTGGGTTAAGTGGTGATGATGATGATGATGATGATGATGATGGTGGTGGTGGTGGTGGTGGTGGTGGTGGTGGTGGTGAATTATTATGTTCACTTTTAAATTTCATGATCAAAGAGTGATGTCAACAAATTAGGGAGCATTTAGAAAATTCTTAGGTTTGATAGGAATGCCAGGAACCTAAGGGCTATGAAATCTATGTTATTTGAAGAATGAATAATGACACTAGGACTATTTAGCATGAAAAAGTTAGGATTTACAAAGGGGAATGATAACTATCTTTAAAAATAAAACAATTATTTGCTCATTGTACATACTGTGAGGCAATATAGAGGAATGTCAGTATGATGCATAGTAGAGTCTTTGTGTACCTTTGCACTATTATAATAAGTGTGAAGACACAACAGAAACAATAATTGAATATACTTCAGGGCTCTGTTTCTATACTGTTTCATTTGGTGATCCCATTATTTCCAATGGATTGAATTATCATCTCTATGTAGATAATTACCAGGTCTATTGGTCTTACTGGGCAGTTAGGTGATGCAGTGGATACAGTGCTGGACCTGAAGTTAGGGTGATTCATCTTCATGAGTACAAATCTGGCCTCAGACACTTACTAGCTTTGTGACCCTGGGCAAGTCACTTAACCCTGTTTGCCTCAGTTTCCTCATCTGTAAAATGAGCTAGAGAAGGATATGGTAAGCTATTCCCATATCCTTGCCAAGAAAATCCCGTGTGGTCATGAAGAGTTGGACATGACTCAATAACAACAAAAACAGTCCTGAATCTCTCTCATGAGCTCTAATTTCTCATTAACAACTCTAATTTGTATATATCAAACTGGATGTCCCATAAACTCAATGTATAAAAAAAAACAGAACTCATTATCTTTCCACAAAATCCTTCCTTCTTTAAAACTTCTATATTACTGTTGAGTGTATATCTATCCTCCAAGTCACCAGACTTACAATGGCAGTGTCATCTCTGATTCTTCTCTTGCACCCATGGTACATTTATAACCTATTTTCAAGTCTTGCCATCTTTACCTTCACTCTATCTCTCATATGTGACTCCTACTCTACACTCACATATATAACATACTAATACAGATTCTTATCACTTCATGCCTCGACTATTGCAATAGCCTTCTAATTGGTCTCCCTAAGCAATATAAATGACTTAGGAGTCTACTTGCCAAGACAAACTCAAGAACTATATGAATACAATTACAAAACACTTTTCATACAAATAAAGTTAGATCTAAACAATTTGAAAAAAATATTACTACTAATGGATAGGCTAAGCCAATATAATAAAAATGTCAATTCTACCTAAGTTAATCTATTTATTTAGTGCCATACCAAACTACCAAAAAAGTATTTTATAGAGGAAGAGAAAATAATAACAAAGTTCATCTGGAAGAACAAAACATCAAGACTATCAAAGAATCAATGAAAAAATGTGAAGAAAAGTGGCCTATCTGTACCAGATCTCAAACTATATCATAAAGTAGTAATCACCAAAATTATTTCATACTGGCTAAGAAATAGAGTGGTGGATCAGTGGAAGAGATTAGATACACACCAGATAGTAGTAAATAACTATAGTAATTTAGTATTTGATAAATCAAAAAAGTTCAAGCTTTTGGGACAAGAACTCACTATTTGGCAAAAAATGCTGGGAAACTGGAAAACAATAAGACATAAACTTGGAACAGGCCAACATTTCACGCCATAAACCAAGATAAAGTAGAAATGGGTACATGATTTAGACATAAAGGATGATACCATAAGTAAATTGTGGAGCATGGAATAGTTTGTCTGTCAGATCTATGGATAATGAAAGAGTTTAAGACCAAACAACAATTAGAGAACATTGCAAGATGTAATCTGGGTAATTTTGATTACATTTAATTAAAAAGGTTTTGCACAAAAAAAACACAATTGCAACCAAGATTAGAAGGAAAGCAGAAAGGTGGAGAAAAAAAATTTTCTCAGCAAGTATACTAAAGGCGTCATTTCTCAAATATATAGTGCAGTGAGTCAAATTTATAAAAATATGACATTCCCCAATTGAAAAATTACTCATAAATATGAACAGGCAGTTTTCAGATGAAGAAATCAAAGCTATCTATGGTCTCATAAAAATGCTCTAAATCACTATTGACTAGAGAAATACAAATTAAAAGAACTCTGAGGTACCATCCTACACCAATTAGATTGGCTAACATGAAAGAAAAAGAAAATGATAAATTTTGGAGGGAATATAGGAAATTTGGGACGCTAATGCGCTGTTGGTGGAGTTGGCAACTGATCCAACCATTCTGGAGAACGATTTGGAACTATAGCCAATGGGCTACAAAACTGTATACCCTTTGATTCAGCAATACTATTACTAGAATCATATCCCAAAGAGATAAAAAGCAGAAAAGGAAAAGGACCTATAATTACAAAAACATTTATAGCATCTCCTTTTGTGGTGGCAAAGAATTGGAAATTGAGGGAAAGACTATCAGTTATGGTATGACTGAACAAGTTGTGGTATATGATTATGATAGAATACTATTCTGTTATGAGAAATAATGAGCAGTATGCCTTCAGATAAAAAAAAACATGTAAAGACATGAATTGATGCAAAATAAAATGAATAGAACCAGGAGAACATTGTACACAGTAATAACAATATTGTAAGATGATCAACTATAAATTACTTAGGTATTTTCAGCAATGCACTGATCCAAGACAATCCTGAAGGATTTATGATGAAAAATGCTATCCATCTTCCAAAAAAGAACTGATGGAGTCTGAATGATGACTGATGCAGGTTTTTTTTTTACTTTCTTCGTTTTTCTTGTTTTTTTTTTAATTTGTGTTTTCTTTCACAACATAAATAATATGGAAATATTTTTTGATGACCATACATATATAACCTATACCAAATTGTTTGCCTTCTCAATGAGGGGAGAAGGGAGAGAATTTGGTGCTCAAAATTTTTTTTAAAGATCATTAAAATTATTTTTACATGTAATTAGAAAAAATTATAAAAATAAAATGTCATAATAAATCATAATATAAATTATAAATGTTAATAAAATTTTATAAAAATAAAATAGCAAATAAACAAAATGAAACAGTTTAAAAGTAATCACGTTTGACTGAAAAAAAAAGATAGCTCAAATACCACCTTCTATAGGGGGATTTATTACCCACTGTTAACACGTTCCCTCTGAAATTATGTTCTATTTGCAGTGTATGTATTTTGTTTGTACAAATGTCGAATATAGTCTCCTCCATTATAATGTGATTTTCTTGAGTGGAAGATATTGTGTTTTTACATTTCTTTGTATTCACACTGCTTAGCATAGTGTCTGGCACATTGTTATTGCTGTTGTTCAGTCGTTTCAATCATGTTCAATTCTTTGGGATCCTATTTGGGATTTTCTTGACAAACATACTGGAGTGGTTTGCCATTTCCTTCTCCAACTCATTTTACAGATGAGGAAACTGAAGTAAATGAAGTTAAGTGACTTACCCAAGGTCACATAGCTAGCAAGTGTCTAAAACACGATTTGAACATAGTTCCTCCTGACTCCAGGGCTGACACTGCACCACTTAGCTTTCCCTATCTGGTATATAATAATCACTTACATGCTTTTTTGATTGGCTGATATAGTGATTTAGGCTCTGGTGATAAAGTTGGTGGGTAAACATCCCATTTGATGGGATGTAACTCTTTCTGAGATTCAAGGAAATAGGACATCATAGATCTGTTGGCTATGTCTACTCAAAGCCATCATAAAACAGGGGATATCCGAGAAAATGGCACTTTATTATGTCCTGGTTTCCCAAGAAGGAAAGGTAAACCCAAACAGATAAATTAAAAAATTCAAATACCAATACTTTGTCTGCTGAGAAAAATTGAAGATGTTGCTAACCATGAAAACCGGACAAGTATACATGAAATAAAATGAAAATATGAAGAATTTTAGCATGCGCTAGTCCTGTATCATAACAAAATTAGAAACATTTCACCAGTTATAGGCAAAGGCTTTCTACATTTTCTTTGTGTTGCTGTTGTTCTTGTATATGTGGATGAATAACAGCCTCAGTTTGAAGTCACATATAATTTCATTGCTGACCAATACAAGACAAATATAAGAAATAACTTCATCCCTAAACCTTCATTAGGAGAAATAGGAAGTGAAATTAAGCATTTGCCAAAATCTAAGGTGAGAAAAGTTGAAAAACCTGAGGCCATTGAATATCTTCATTAAATAGAAATAATAGAAATTCTACCTGTCTGAATGAAAGAGAACATAAATCATATTGATATCACAAATGATGTTAAAAAGAAAAAGACTTTTTTAAAAAGTTTGATGACATTGATACAGCTAGCAGATTAATGAGAACAAAAGAGTAATACAGAAAAGCTGCATATGTTATATGCGTCATGACTGAGCAAATTTTCCCACTTGATAGATAATATTAGTGAATCACAGGGACTAGAGCAGGAATCTAGGCAATCCACATTTAGGGGGAAAGTAGATTATTGGGAAAGTAATTTCAGAAATGTATGTTCTACCTGGAACATAACAAGCATATAATAAATGATTTTAATTTTCTCATTCATTCATAAAATAGTGAAAGGTTGCAAGATAGACTCCATCT